TCTATTTATCTAGCTATCAGTCTATCTATCTAACTATCTATTTATCATATCATTCTATCTATCTATCTTCTATCTATCTATCTAATCTATCTATCTATCAACTTATTCTATCTATCTATCTATCTATCTATCTATCTATTGCTATCACTCATCTATCTATCTATCATATCTATCTATTTATTCTATCTACTATATCTATCTATTCTATTCTATCTATCTATCTATTCCGCATCTATCTATTCTATTCTATCTATCTCTATCTATCTATCTATGCTATCGTATCTATCTATCTATTCTATCTTACTCTATCTATCTATTCATATCTATCTGATCTATCTACAGTCTATCTTTCTGTCTATCTATCTATCAATCTATCTATCTTATTATATCTATCTATCCTTCATTTATTCTACTCCTATTCTATTTATCTATCTATCTATCTTATCTATTCTCTATCTATTTCTATTCTATTCTATCTATCTATCTCTCTAGTATACTATCTATCTCATCTATTCTATTCTATCTATCTTCATCTATCGAATCTATCGATCTCTTTCCTATACTATATATATATATATATATATATATATATATATGCACATAATATCAGGAGTGAATAAAACCAAACTTGAATAAAAAAGTCTGTTTTTATTCATACTACATATATATATATAACCTACGATATTTGTAACGTATACAAATTACGATACATTAAAAAATTCTTTCAGATTGACTGGATATCGTTTTTTAATTACCTTATCGACGATTCAACCCTGATTAACGAGGATACGGTGGTGCAGGGAGTGGTGGATTACTTGGCAGCAGTCAGCGACGTTATTAACGGCTGGCCTAAAGAGTATGTGCTGAGAGGCGTGTCGATCGTGTAATATACCGATGTTCTTACGATTAGATACTTTCTTCATTAATATGAACCGCGTCTATCCGAGAATTCGAAAAATCCGGGGTTACAACGCCAACCCCAGGTTTTACAAGCACCGCACTTAAACCCCCCAGGTTTTACAAACACCACGCTTAAAACCCCCGGGTTTTGAAAACACTGTGCTTGAAACGCCCGAGTTGTACAAACACTGTATAGCGTGGAGCTAATTTAGCCAAACTTTTATTTATCCAAAGCCCGGGTCACAACAGATCGTACGAAATTTTGTCGTGGTAGACCCATATAATATTTGTCGTGGCCAGATCTTGCTACATGCCCGAAATGTATTTCCAGTGGTCACAAGGGCTACGACACATTAAAGATGGTTTGGTGATGGGGACGCGACAGAATGTGATTATGTCGTGGGTGTGTCGCAAGTCAGTCGTGCGACAGTCGTGAGTTGTCGGGCATTGTCGGGGGGCTGTTTTTCACGTGAACAAGTAGTGGTTCACTCGTGTGATGCGCGTGCTACAGTCGTGCGACTGTCGCACAGCAGTCGTGAGTCACTCGTGGGTCACTCGTGGGACGCTCGCGCGTCCGTCTCCCGACTATATAACGACGTATTATCGCACGACAGTCGCAAGACTGTCATAGGACAGACTCACGACAACCCGAAGACATAGATACCACAAAAAATCGTGGAACAAATAAGATGTATGTTTAATTTTGCCTCACGACGGCAAGTCGATGCCACGATGCTCAAAATTTCGTAGGACTGTCTTGCGACGACCCCCGATGACCTAGAATTTGCCCAAATGTTCTGTCGTGTCGTGGCACAAATGCGTCGTGGGCTCGTTGCGACCGAGGACACAAAGTATTCCTACGCGTGCAATAACAGGTTTGCTTACATTTATATGCACAATGCATAATGCATCCATGTACGTGATTTATGTAATTATACTGTTTCTCTGCTTGTTTTACGGGTACCAATGCGAAGGAAACAGAATGACTACGTCATCTGGATGCTAGCCAGCCGACATATCGAGTATATTTCGTACGAATACGCCCACATCTACAAGCTTTATGAGTATGCGAAATACCAGGACGCAAACTGGCCGTCGGATTTCACAGTTTGTAACAATGTGATGAAGTATGACCTTACCTCTGCACTCAATTCTATGTACGTTCGCAAATATTTCCCGGAGCAAGAGAAAGCGGACGTAAGTCATACATAGTGAGCTAACACCAGACATGCAAAATGCACTAGCTAAGCTACACTGTAAGTGAAATCGTGTTAAAATGTGACGTGGTCGACAGACAACACATATTATTAAATGATATAACTAAATAACAGCGAAATATTTAACTCAGTAGTACATCGATTTAGTGAAATAGATAACACAATAAGAGAATGCTTATATTATTACACTACCATTTCGCATGCGAGTATGTAAAATTACTTTTAAACCAACTGCAAACGTAAAGCATGGCCACGTAACGTCTCTCTATATAGACTATAGCCGCGTTCACACGTAGCAAGAAATCCGGTATTTAGCATTTACACGAGGCAAAATGCGCGGTCCAAGAAATACGGTATCTAAACAGATCCGGTATTTGATGTAA